TCAACAATTTAGCAATGCCTCTTGTTGTATTCGGAGCGATATTTATCATTTGGTTTCTGCGCAGACCTGCATTCACCTCTCGTTATTTACACTACATACGCAAATCGATAGGCGGGGCTAAAAAGGCAGCGATGTAGAAGCAGACGTTGATCTCCTTCTGTGGAGGCAGGGTTTAACCACACTATTACATCACAGAGTGGCACATTTCACAAACTGTCATTTTGGCAGTCTGGCTTCTTAAATATATGCTATTTTTAGACTAACAAGAAAGTTTTGAGTTATAAAAATTACAGGATGTTTTTTTTATAGTACTATGTCCTCTTATGTGTTAAAATATCAAGGGAATTTAGGTTTCCAACCCAGGCTCATTGGAAATACGTGCCTCTAAATAAATTTCTGCAACACCATTATTACGTACCTTACTGCACGTTTCGTGGCAGTTTCAAATTGAAATGTCTAGAGAGTGGCGCTAAAACACACGTTCAGTATGTGACCGTGGCACGTTTTTAATATGTTGGTACAGGCACGTATTCGTGCATTTTTATTACACTGCTTGAGGTACATATTACGGCTGTTCAGAATTCAAATATCCTGGGAGTGTCGCTAAAGGTTAATGCTCTATCGTGTTGTAAATATCCCCTACACCAAACCCAACCCTAAACCTACCTAATAGTGTTAACAAAGGAAAAAGTAATATTAAAATTAATTTGTTGATGCACCTGTGCTATTTTAACTTCCTCATGCGGATTTAAGCTGTTTTGTCGAACTAAAGTTTCACAGGGTTTGTACTGGAGCTCTTCATATCTCAAGTGCAACACTGTATCGCATGAGCTACCGAGCAAACCTACTGAATCAGAAAACTCATGCATATGAAGCTGTATATGTGACGACAACATTCAAAAGTATGATTTTTTTTTAATTGTGCAGGGTGTTAAAATTGTTTTGAAGTCATAACATAATATTCTACAAGCAATTGTGTGAAAATTAGCCTTTATAAATCAAAACTCTGTACCTGTAAATCATACTTTGGATGAAAAGGCATAAAAGTTGTCTGAATTTTACTGCCTCTAGTGTTCATCTCAACTGGAAACTACAGTGATTCGTACATTTTTGTTTTTTTCTGTTTTGCAGAAATGTATATATAGGTACGTATTTCTAATGAGCTTATGCTGTTGGTTTCTCAGTTCATGACCCCTTTAAAGCGGCAGAGTGCTATCATGCATTAGTGTGGATGCTAAGGCAGCTCTTTCTTTATTCAAGGAACCAGAACTCATACATAAATGGGACATTTTACTATTCATATACTTTATCTGAATATTATTTTCATATGCATATTGTCATCCAGACATGTGATACTGAAATCAGTAAACATGGCAGTATCACATGTCTGGATGACAATATGCATATGAAAATCATGTATTAATGGATAGAGGCCTTACAGATGTTTTGTAATGCAATTTACCTTATTGGCACAGGTGGCATTTACAGTCCGTATTTTCTTTACACTTACAATAAGGTAAATGACATTACAAAACATCTGTAAGGCCTCTATCCATTAATACTGTGAACTATATAAGAAATCCAATAATTAGTTCTTGCTCAAAACCACTCAGTACTTTGTAAACATGACTTCTATGTGCTAAAAAAATCATGAGGCATAATTTCCAGAAGTGCATAAACCCAGATTAGAGCTTGCCTGATCTAGAAAGTGCTTCATAGTTTTGGTGCTCAGACAGTCAGTAAATGGACTGTTGGTCGAATGTGAGTGGTCCATGGGCATGCCATCTGAGGCTACAGTTTAACTTGTTCAACAAGATTCAGACGGTTATGCCTCTGTTAGTAGCTGACTTGCTAAGTAAAACTGACTCTTGAAGATGATTGTTTATGCTAATGCTAATGTCCCTTTAGACAATATGAGAATGCAACACATACATGCTTTGCATTATTGTGACATTTTAAAATATGTGATATGTGAAATTGAGCTTGTGTGAAGAACAGCTTATGCTTGTTTGTATGGCCTAAGTGCTACATATTAAAATCCCCCACACTGCTTGTAATCAATAGTTGCACCTCAACAGCTACTGAATGTACTTCAATCAGTGTAATGAGCTTAATAATGGTAAAATGTGAAATATATCTGAGAAAGGTATATTCAGATTGTTATGCACTATGACATTTTTCTGTGATATGAATGAATGAATGAATACTGCAAAAAAGTTCATTTTTAAAGTTTAATTTTTAGTGGCATTGCAGTCTTGCACTTAATAAGCTCTCAGTGTTGTTTAGTATTTGTCACGTCAATAGTCTCTGCAAGTTGATTATCTGTCATGATTTCTTCTCTAGCCAGTGCCTCAAAATGACATTTCAATATCTCTCCACTAAGAACTGAGTTTCTCTGAGATGCATCCATCTATTGATCGGCATTATATTACATTTTTCTTTCTTTTTCCTCCATGCTGTTAGAGAGGTTTGTATTTTACAAAAATATAACATTGTCTCTTCTAGATGCTTCTCAAGAACCACAGAACAACACGAAATCTAAATTTACTTAATACACTTTCCCTGATCTTATTGTGCTCAGTGCATCAGTGCATGTTATTCCAAAGAAAAAGAAATGTTTGTCTCTGTAATCTTTCAACAAAATGTAATAACTTTGCCTCTAAAATGACTTTCCTTTTCAGCCAAAGCCACAAATCCCTCTTAGTTTTCAGCCCCTTCTGTCCAACCGATTGCCTCATTTCTCGTATCGAATGGCCAGTTTTCATGGTCCAATGAATTCCAAATGGATAAAAATCAAGTCCTGCCCTACCTTTTTCCTCATTGAATATCCTGTTTCTGTAAGAATTGGTTTTCTGAGGCAAAGAGGTTTAAAATTGTGTTTTAAAGAACAAAGAACCTAAATGTTTTATCCTCATTTAACCCTGAAATCAGATTTTTGAGTTTAATAATATAATTATGAAGATCACAACCAGTGTATGCTTGATAAGGCATCAACCTTTAAGTCTTTTTTATAAGAAAATGCAACACTAAAGCCAAAATTTTGAGGTTACCAGATACCAGGGAAGGAAAATACACCACCAACAGTATTGGAACTAGACCAGTAATAAATTAAAGGGCAGTCTAGACAACTGATTAGACTCTAATTGGAGTTTGAGCCATTAGCTGGGTCTCAGCCTCAAGGTCCACATTGCTTTTGGGACCAACAATATAAGATTAATGTTTAAGGCATAATGACTTCTCAACTGATTTTAAAGCATGCACTACATGTATGATCGTATGAGATTTGTTATTTTGCTGTTCTAAGCATTATTCTATAATATACAGAAAGACCTGGGTATCACCCCATTATAACACGTTGATTAAAAAGGAGCAATATGAATGCCAAAGAGGCTATAGAGCCTATACTTTTTTTTTGCTTGTTTCTTGGCATGGCTTCTGTAGTTAAATAAAATGCACATATCTCATTTCAGAGGCCAAAACAAATTAAATTCAGTCAGCTATTTGGAGCTGTATTTTTTTAATGTATGGTTGATAAAAAAAAGTCACTTTAAAACAAAACCAAGGATTTTAATTAAGACGAGGTCAAATTAAAACTCAATTGGCTTTGATTAATACAAAGGCAGACAATGAGTCTGTCCCTTTATAATGTGTCAGCAATTTAGCATTGAAACCATGCTGAAGTAGTGTCCTTTCATGTTAAAAAAAACCTGTACTGTTCTAGATTTTAATCTAAAGATTAATTACTGGTTGAATTAAATGGCTTTCAAATTATTGCAAAATTAGAATGTATATATATATATATATAATCTGCACAAAGACAATTCTGCGTAGGGGTTGGTTGTTATGACCAAAATTGTGGTGGTACGAATCTTTTCTATTAGACTAACAGTATTGGTCAAAAAAATTAAATAATGAATTACTGCACGCTAAATACCAATTTAAAAAAAGAAAAAACAGTTACATACTTTACAAATTAAAGGTATATCAACATTTGTATATTTTCTCTTTTTATTTGGAACTTGATGGAGTTAAATGAAAATGTTCTACTGTATATTATTGAAGCAAGTTGTGACATTGCTTGACCAATATTTTGTGCTGGTACAAAATCTTCACCAAATTACACATTTCTACCATCATACTCCCCAGTTCTACTTGTGTGTGTTACTTTATTATGTTGTTTATATGCCTAAATACTCAATTTGCTATTGTAATTTTCTAACTTTTATACACTTCCACTTATCAGAATCAGTTGTGACACTCCAGATTTGCTGTGCATGCAGAGAATAAACGTCAAATAAATGAACACGATGTAACCTTTAGAGACTGGTGTATCACAATGCACACTTGAGATTATTATTATTATTCTAATTCTTCCTCAATGTTTTAGTGGCCATTGACTTGACATTATGAAACAAAGACAGAACTGAGTTGTGATGTCTTCCGATGTTGATGCGGTTCTGATTTTCAAAACCAGAAGTAAATGGGAGTTCTCCATTTAAAATGCTTTTAGCCAGGCACAAAACCTTTTCTGTTTGCTGGAGCTGCCAAGATCATAACCAAATTATTTGAGATTTTAGAGCCAAATTTTGTCTTACCCACAAAATAGACCTCTTGCTGACTTCACACAACTTTAAGAGTCATCAAAAATTAATAACCTCTTCAAAAATATTGTCTGCCCATGCTTACCCTCACTTATAGAAATAAATAAAATAAAATGAAAATGTGGGGAATATTTTATGCTAATTGCTCTTCACTGAATATTGTGCTTTTTTGTCAAATAAGACGATAAAGGGAAGGTAGTCACTCTACAGGAATTACCACACATTTTTTTGTTATCTGTTTCTTATACTTAGTTATATAATATACTCTAACAGCTGTGCTGTGAATCAACACCATTAACAGCAGATCCATGCGAGTGTTTAGCTGTCCATTGTTTCTTCTCATGTGACTCTTAAACTATCCAAGCTCATCAGTTCTCCATCTTTTCTTTAATTTTGCAGCATGTGAACTGATGACGCAGGGGATCCTGGCCTTGGTCACGTCTACAGGCTGTGCCTCAGCCAGTGCTCTGCAGTCCCTGACAGATGCCATGCACATACCTCACCTTTACGTCCAGAGAAACGCTGAAGGATCACCTCGTACTGCATGCCAACTCAATCCAAGCCCCGATGGAGAGCGATACACCCTCGCAGCAAGACCGCCTGTCCGTCTAAGTGATGTCATGTTGACATTAGTTGGTGAGCTGCGTTGGCAGAAGTTCATCGTCTTCTATGACAGTGACTATGGTGAGTGATTGATTGCAAGACAGAGCAAATCCTGCTTTTGGGAAAAAGAAAAAAAAAATCTTACTAATCCTTACAGGTTGCATTCTGATGAGCAGATTATTCTAGGTATTTATTGTGGTGTGATTCCATGTGATAATTACTGATTCGGTTAAAGCGTTGTTCACAATAACAGTGATTAATTTGTTGGAGTCTCTGAGCTGTTGGATCTATCTATCTATCTATCTATCTATCTATCTATCTATCTATCTATCTATCTATCTATCTATCTATCTATCTATCTATCTATCTATTCATGGTCCAATGAATTCCAAATGGATAAAAATCAAGTCCTGCCCTACCTTTTTCCTCATTGAATATCCTGTTTCTGTAAGAATTGGTTTTCTGAGGCAAAGAGGTTTAAAATTGTGTTTTAAAGAACAAAGAACCTAAATGTTTTATCCTCATTTAACCCTGAAATCAGATTTTTGAGTTTAATAATATAATTATGAAGATCACAACCAGTGTATGCTTGATAAGGCATCAACCTTTAAGTCTTTTTTATAAGAAAATGCAACACTAAAGCCAAAATTTTGAGGTTACCAGATACCAGGAAGGAAAATACACCACCAACAGTATTGGAACTAGACCAGTAATAAATTAAAGGGCAGTCTAGACAACTGATTAGACTCTAATTGGAGTTTGAGCCATTAGCTGGGTCTCAGCCTCAAGGTCCACATTGCTTTTGGGACCAACAATATAAGATTAATGTTTAAGGCATAATGACTTCTCAACTGATTTTAAAGCATGCACTACATGTATGATCGTATGAGATTTGTTATTTTGCTGTTCTAAGCATTATTCTATAATATACAGAAAGACCTGGGTATCACCCCATTATAACACGTTGATTAAAAAGGAGCAATATGAATGCCAAAGAGGCTATAGAGCCTATACTTTTTTTTTGCTTGTTTCTTGGCATGGCTTCTGTAGTTAAATAAAATGCACATATCTCATTTCAGAGGCCAAAACAAATTAAATTCAGTCAGCTATTTGGAGCTGTATTTTTTTAATGTATGGTTGATAAAAAAAAGTCACTTTAAAACAAAACCAAGGATTTTAATTAAGATGAGGTCAAATTAAAACTCAATTGGCTTTGATTAATACAAAGGCAGACAATGAGTCTGTCCCTTTATAATGTGTCAGCAATTTAGCATTGAAACCATGCTGAAGTAGTGTCCTTTCATGTTAAAAAGAAACCTGTACTGTTCTAGATTTTAATCTAAAGATTAATTACTGGTTGAATTAAATGGCTTTCAAATTATTGCAAAATTAGAAGGTATATATATATATATATATATAATCTGCACAAAGACAATTCTGCCTAGGGGTTGGTTGTTATGACCAAAATTGTGGTGGTACGAATCTTTTCTATTAGACTAACAGTATTGGTCAAAAAATTTAATAATGAATTACTGCACGCTAAATACCAATTTAAAAAAAGAAAAAACAGTTACATACTTTACAAATTAAAGGTATATCAACATTTGTATATTTTCTCTTTTTATTTGGAACTTGATGGAATTAAATGAAAATGTTCTACTGTATATTATTGAAGCAAGTTGTGACATTGCTTGACCAATATTTTGTGCTGGTACAAAATCTTCACCAAATTACACATTTCTACCATCATACTGCCCAGTTCTACTTGTGTGTGTTACTTTATTATGTTGTTTATATGCCTAAATACTCAATTTGCTATTGTACTTTTCTAACTTTTATACACTTCCACTTATCAGAATCAGTTGTGACACTCCAGATTTGCTGTGCATGCAGAGAATAAACATCAAATAAATGAACATGATGTAACCTTTAGAGACTGGTGTATCACAATGCACACTCGAGATTATTATTATTATTCTAATTCTTCCTCAATGTTTTAGTGCCCATTGACTTGACATTATGAAACAAAGACAGAACTGAGTTGTGATGTCTTCCGATGTTGATGCGGTTCTGATTTTCAAAACCAGAAGTAAATAGGAGTTCTCCATTTAAAATGCTTTTAGCCAGGCACAAAACGTTTTCTGTTTGCTGGAGCTGCCAAGATCATAACCAAATTATTTGAGATTTTAGAGCCAAATTTTGTCTTACCCACAGAATAGACCTCTTACTGACTTCACACAACTTTAAGAGTCATCAAAAATTAATAACCTCTTCAAAAATATTGTCTGCCCATGCTTACCCTCACTTATAGAAATAAATAAAATAAAATAAAAATGTGGGGAATATTTTATGCTAACTGCTCTTCACTGAATATTGTGCTTTTTTGTCAAATAAGACGATAA